TGAGAGTATATATAATTGTATAATATATAAGAAAGAAATGACTATCCCAAGGTTATTTTTTACAACTGAATTAATATACACTTTTTGTACTTAAAGTAAAATAGATAAATACTATAAATAAATACTGAAATTTTTTTTACGAACGAGAAGAAAGTCTTAACGCAGTCTAGTGCATCAAGAAAGACCAAATCTCTTAGTTATTTCTAATAACTTTTAACAATAATTATTAACACATTTATCATAATATAGATTTCTATTGAACAAATACAAAATGTAATTCATATAATGTTTAAAAAAATATAGTAACTAATAAAATCTACACTTTACGATAGATGCCAATAAAGATGTCAACAATAATGATCAGATTCATATAAAAAATTACTAAGCATGCAAAATGTGTAGTGAATTATACAGTGAGTTAGGAGTTGACTTTAATCGTTATAAAAATAACGTTTATTTAAGATCTCTTCGTGCAAAGAAACTCAACTAGCAAGTAATGGAACGCGATGTGAATAGTCGATTTAAATCGGCCGAATTATCATAGCGCTCGGTGAAATAGCGATCGGGATTTGCGTTGTAATCGACAGATCAACGAGGCAAACGAAAGATCGTGCATCCGAACGATCCTCGACGAAGCAGGATCGCGTGAATCACGAGGGAGAGGACCGAGCGGATGCTGGGAACGTATGATGTTCGCGAGAGATCCACACGTGATGGGAAGGGCAGTTCGCGCGTCGTGAGACGGTAACACGAGATTACGGTTCGATATCGAAGTGCCGACACAACGAACGTCGCGTTGAAAAAACAGCGGGAATCATCGAGCGGCGCCGGGAACGAAGTATGACCGCCTCGCAGCACCCTCCGAGAATGTTCCGCGAGCGAGACATTTGCGAGATTACTTGTTAAGTAATTGTACGAGGAAGGGAGGTCCCCGAAAGGATGGGCAACTTACAGGTTACACTATACCAAGCGACTGTAATCCGTCGCACGTAGATTAAGAGTAACGTCTTTGTTGACAAGTGCCAGCGGAACACAAAGTTAGCTCAATAACAACTAATGCCATTGTTCTCAGCCATATTCGCTAGACTGGCAACTACTGGCGACCCAAGCGGCCAACTGAAGACCGCAGGGCTACTTACGATACAAAGATAGCGAAGTCGTGACTGTACAGTCGTAGACAGAATAGTTGCGACACTTGTTTTTAATAGGTTTCGGAACGCAGTTACGCAGCCTGCTCACCAATTGTAATTGTAATGTAATTGGTCCTTACTTATGGATCCATAAATAAGAACCAATCGTTTGATGAGCAGGCTATTTTCTGAAACCCATTGAAAAAAGTGTTGCAATTATACCATCTATACGACTGTACGCGCTACGAGTGTGGTAATTGGTCGCGAGACTCGGAAACGTTATGAGCAACTTATGGCTAAGGCTATTTTCACATTGTTTGGCTTAGACGAAATCAAGTTTAGAGAAATATTTAAAAAATTATTCATACATATCAATGACATTTACACGGCTTGATTTACGCCACAGTTAGGCCGGAATCAGACTAGGTATTAAAGATTGAGATTGAAGATTGAAAGATTGAAATTTGACCAATCAAAACAATAGGAGCTAAAATTCCTTTGCCCTCATTGGTCCAATTTCAATCTTTAATCTTCGATCTCAATCTTCAATGCGTAATCTGATTCCGGCCTTATAACTGATTATAACATCGATGTTATGAAATTGGCCAATCATATTCCTTTAAAGAATGGAATGACAAACATTCATACTCAGTGAACGCTTACATCTTATTGGCATATTCCATTAGAACTAAAAATATTGACCAAACAAGTATAACCCCGGATCTACAATAGGTGTTTTAAGCCTTAAGTCGTAAGAAATTGACCAATTACGAATCATAGTCGATTATTCTCCTCGAATTCGACTGTAATTGGTCAATTTCTTACGGTTTAAGTCTTAAAACATCTATTGCAGATCCGGGGTTAGAATTGGGTCAGAGTACAAGAACTGACCAATCACAGTCGAGTATTCTCCTGTTACAGTCGAATGACAGTGGGTGCATTCAGTACTACAACCGCTCATTGAGCGCTCAGTGAGCTCTTGCATCTGATTGGCATATTCTGTTAGAACTAAAAATATAGACCGAAAATCTCAGAGGTTTTCAACCACGAATTTTAAAGCTTAAAAATATATTATATCTAATGAGATAAATGTTTATATATTAGGATATAAATAGATCAAAGTATACCTACATCGATCTACTTTGATCAGGTCAAAATGAAGATCTTAAGATCTCTTTAGATCTAATGAGATCTATATATATATAGTGAAATCTTCATTTTTTCCCGAATATTTATTTAATTTATATTAAAATTTATATTAATATTATATAATTATTAATATTCTCGGTTTAGTTACAGAACTGCCGATATCTAAGGAAAAAAATAAGCTAAGCTAATCCGGTTCAGAATATACCCTCAATGTGATTGGTCCATTATTGGTCAACAGCCAGAGTTGGCAGTCAGGTCGGCTTGCATACTTTCGGGTCAAACATGGGTTAACCGAACCGAGTCAGGTTCAAATCCATTCCATTCGAAAACGCTGAGAGAGGTCTAGCCGGCCTTTTTCCTGTTATCGTCGAAATCGCCCGTACACTACCGCTAGTACATCCATTTTCAATTTAGGAACTACGTGACTATACATTTTCTAACACTATCGATAAAATCGTATCGTCGAAAGTAGATGTGGTTCGTGTCTGTACTAAATCCTCAAGATAGAAGCGTGCTGACTATCCATAGGAGGGATTTTCTTTAAATATCAAATTTAAATATAAATATTTAAATAAAAAATTTAAATATAAATATCAAATATAAATATAAATATATATATATAAATATAAATATAAATAACAAATATCCAATATATCAAATTTAAATATCAAATCAAATTGATTTGTAATTAATAATCTTGAATGTTTGTTGGTAAACCTAACAAAATTATAAAAAAATCACTATTTGTTAAAATTACCTTTATAAAAAAAAGTTCTTTTTTTAACCATTATTTTTCCCATTAAATTGCCAAAAAACTATTATTATTTTAAAAAATTGATTATTTTTTTTTAGGTTTACCGTATGGGGAGAAAATAGTTATAATTAATGTGTAAAAAGCGTAAATCAGTGCGTTGAGCCATTTTCTCTCTACAATGTCAGCAAATTTGAAAAAACATGTTTCAAGAAAAATGAGTTTAAAGTTTTGAGTGTGTGTTGGAATACTTCTGTTTTTTTAGTAACTACAATAAATTTCTTTTATTCGACGATTTCTGAATCATAAAACGGTTCATTCTCTTCATGAAATTTTATGAAATGTTTCTTTGTTCGAAAAAGTAACAGCCGTACGGCGCGCCGCTACGAATCGAAACTCAAACGTGTCTAATTGTTACCTATGCATCATTTCAGTAAACTATGAATAACTCCGTATTCTACGTATTTCTATGAACAATTTTGGTAACATATATTTTCAAGACTATTAACTTTCCGAAAATGCAATTAAAAAAATCAATTTTTTTTATCTTCCAAACCACCCCAAAAGAAGAAAATTAGGAAGTACGTGTAATTAAATGATAACATTATTTAAAAAACGTTTCAAAATGTTTGAAAGTAAAAATGTGTTATAAAAAATGCTGGTTATTATGTATTGGAATATTAACGTTATGATTATATAACGGCGAGCTACTAACAAATGATTACTTATATAAGTAATCGTTAAAATTTTGTCACCTAATAGCGGAAATACTGAAGGAAACAATAATATCTACACTGGTCATAATACCCTTCTCCTCTATTATTCAAAATATATCAGACAGAATAATCAATTTGATTGTTAATAACTTTTTAATAATTAACAAGCAACGGTTAAAACCTTCTGAAGGTCACTCAGGATCATAATCTCGATAACATATGTCAAGATCAAGGTAATTAGAACTGGTTCTCTTATACTAAATAATTACCCTCCATAATGGCATAAGAAGATTGGTCACCTCTAGTTGGAAAGTTATTTCCAACTAGATGTATTTTCCTAACTATGTGACATCATGATGTTAAATAATATCTTTCTGTGACATTATATCGACAAAGATCGTCAAAAAGAATACGAAATGTCTTTGCAGACCTACATACACGATGGCCTCGTCTACTCTCGCTAACCGGGACACGCGTTAAAGTCACCATAAGCCGCAGATGTTGCCTACACAAGGATATTATTAAGATTACACCGAGCGGCTTCACAGGCGTTAGGATGCGTCAAGATCAATCATGTCCATATCCGTTCATTCAATAGAATTTCACCGTCATTCGAATTTTAAGCTATACTTTAATAGGACTGGATCCTCATTACCGAAGATCCTTATTCTTAAAATAGTGGCACGAAACAGGAACGTAACAATTATCATTAAACTGAATCTTAAAGTGTGTCAATAGTACTCAGCTATATAAAAATGCGTTTTCCAATATAAACTGTTACTCATAAAAAAATTTTTATAACTTTATTGATTTTCAAACCAGAAGACAAATATATACGAATATGAATTATATAATAAGCATACATAATTTGTGTTCAAGGAAAAAAAAGATTTAGAATAAATGCCTGTTCCCAAAATTGGTTCTACGGAATATTTTCTTATGAGATAATTAAATTTTAATTTGCATACGAACTTTATGATCCAAAACTTGATCTTACACAGCCTCTTAATTGGGACTGAACATTTATAATAAAAGAAATACATTAAATTACGTATTTCTAAGCGGGATTCCCACGAGATGAGAGGTTCGTGCTATGCATCTAGTCGATGCATTATCGCGTAATTTTTATCTAACGGTAAAGATCATCGTGGCCCGGCGCGGCGGAGACGCAGTGGAGGCGGAAGGGAAATCTACACTGCCCGGTTTCTTGCAGCCATGATTGGTAGTGGCCGTCAGTACTTGCTTAACCGTTGGGTCGTTAGCAAGTGCGGATACTCTCCAGCTAGTCCAGCTCTGCGGTTCACTGATTTGGCGTTTCCTACCGCGTTTACCTGTCGCGCGTACTAAGGAGAGACGCATAACGCTAACGACCGTCTACAGAGTCTTCCGACTAACGATCGTCCGATTCGGCGATTTTTCTTGGTGCAGTGCGGAGGAAATTTATCCGCTTCCGTTTCTGGCCAGGTGAGTCACCAATACAAATTATTTTGTGCGATGACGCGACCTCCTTTGCCTGTCCTCGCGATAGAAATTTTTCCTTTTTTTTCTTCGGAGTGACCTTGGTGATAACACAGAATCACAGCTGTACATTCGCTCAATTGGTCCCGGGATAGGGCCATCCATCGTTCTCTTTTCTTTTTTCTTTCCTCAGTGATTGTCCTGAATCTCTTGAGTCGGTGAAAGTTCCAAAGTCGTAGCGACGAGTCGCTTGCTATACTTTCGTTGCAGCCAGTAATTTACGGACCTAACTATACGCTGGCGGTAGCTGATTTAATCGACATTCGACAGATCGTTGAGTTGAAATTCCCGGTTTCCCAATTGACAGAGTAAACCAATGGAAAGTAGAATAGCCTAATATGAATATACTTTCGTACTGAGAATTTCGCTTTATTATCATATATGGAATGTCCCACTTCCCGCGCATTGTTTTAACGACAGATTCTTTGATTAATTTGAGAGAGAAAGAGAGGAGAGAGAGAGAGAGAGAGAGAGAGAGAGAGAGAGAGAGAAATCGGTTTTTTTCTTAACGAAACTCTCAAGGAAAATTAAAATTTATAGCAACTTTCCAATTTAGCTTTATACTCTCGAAGCTAAATGTTAAATAAAAATTAGCGTTACCTGGATTTAGTTGAAGAATATGATTTTTGTTACTTGTCTTTAACATTAATAAAAAGTCTTTTAATAAGTCTTTTAATTTTTACTGTTATTTTTTTACTTATAGTCTTTTTTATGATAATATATACCTACTATATTTATTTTACTTATAATTAATATTAATATTATAAAATATTACAAAAAATAAAACATTGAAAATACAAAAATTGTTAATATATATTTCTAAATTAATTTAACAAAATGAGCGAAGCAGGTCATATTCAGTCAAAGCAGAATTTAATGCCTAATAATATTTTTGTGTCACTTTTACATTTTCCAGTGCAAGCAAACTGCGCGCCAATTATAAAAAATAATTTATTTTAATGATGTACATGCATAATATATTCCACATTTTCGATGCGACAAACATAATTAAGAATATTTTGCGGAATTACAATTTAAAATGCCTTTAACCATATATGTATATCTTGTTTCTTCGTAAAAGCGCAGCGGTGCAAAGGTGTCATATGCAATTAAGTCCTACTAATATTACAAGACTCTCAGCATTACTGAACGCAGTTAATATTTGTCGGTCGCAGTATCTAATCGCTATTAGCTGCTTTTTTTACGAAATAAAAATGAAGTGATTTAGCTATATTTCTTTGGGTTATCAATTATATTTAATCGAAATAAACTTCACATCGTCTTGAAGATCGAAATATGTAATATTGATTAGACGATAATAAAAATATGATACGCGTAAAGTTTAAATAGAAACGTAATTGAAAATATAAAATTAAAACTATACTGATCCATTGAATTCTTTTCCTTTTCTTTTTTTTTGCGTAAATTAAAATTATTAACTCGCATTATTTAAACGTAAACTTATTAAATTACTTAAATGATTATTATTTTTACTTTTTAAAGGAGAGTAGAAATTTTCGAGGATTTCGCTACCGCTCGGGGATCATTTTATTTCTATGTTTTCTTATGTAATTCTCTTCGTAAAAATATAATCATTATAATAATGCCAGACTTAAGGAAAAATTGGTACATCGAAATAAAATGAATAAAATATCTTTATTCGCATCATTATAAAATTACTGTCAGTTATGTTTCAATAATTTATTTATGAAATTAATTCCAAATTGGTTCAAATGCGAATAACATTGCACCATAAAACGTTAATTAAATTATATTTTTCATTATAATAACATTTGTCACCTCGGTGCGATGTGCAACGCTTAAAGTGGGGGAAAAACAAGAAAATATAGAACTAAAACGATCCTCAAGTGATAGCGAAACCCTCGAAAATTTCTCCTTTATTAACGTTATTGAGAGATAATAAAATAATAATAACATAGATAATTATCTTTTTTAATCGTTAATTACCGTTAATAATATTTAATAAATAAATGTAATAACAGTTATATTTAATGAACTTTATGCTTAGATAATGCGAAGAGCTAAGAAAGTATCGTATTGTCAACAAATATATTCCTGAATTATAAAAAATAATATTGAATTACGTATATTGAATATCCTGATAATTATTGAATTTATATAAAAAATGGATAGATAAGAAGTTGTTTTGCGTTTCATGGCTGCACAATTATGAAAGAAAGAGCATTTTTACGTCGTCGGGATACACACGACAGCAAATTTATATTTTTACAATATTTGTTTAAAGTTTAAACAGAGCACGTTGTATTTATTGCATATTACATTATTACTGTTTGGTACACGTTTCTGTATTTGGTACAATAGAGCAAGTTTCTAAAATATGGAATAAGAAATTTTTACATTCACATTGATATGACGCGTTTAATTATTATATATTTTTTTAGCGAAATATATATAAATAATGTGAATTTGTAAACTTGACGAATATAACACTTTGGAAATCTTGAATAGAAACCATTTCGTTGAGACGAGTTATTACGTAACACACGGAACTTAATGATGACGTACAAAAAATATTTTCGTGTGCGCCGGAATTCCCTAACTTTTACTTTTTTCTTTCCCTCTGTCCCTTTGACGTCACAATCTGACACGATATATCGAGACTCTAGTAATTCAAGGAATAATCGGTCACAGTATTTATCTGTCGTCTTTTTCTTTTCTCTTAGACAGTAATTGCTTACTATTCGCGGATTGTAATTTCAAAATTAACGATGACGGATATACATATAATGGACTCCCGGAAAAACCGGTATTGTGACGAACTAAGCTTTCGCAAAAGAGGGAAACTCGGCGATGTAATTACAGGCAGTTTTGTGCGCACGGTGTGCATTGTCACTTACATAATAATATGTAATTATTCCTAATGTTTAACATTCTTGACTTTTGTGTTCATTTGCGTCTATTTCACTGCCTTCCGAGATTTCACCCGTAATATCTTCATTTAAAAAAATATGATTGATTATCGTTGTTATTGCAAAATCTTGAAAGATAATTCTGTAGAAGACGCACAAATTTTTTATTATTTTGATATCATATTCTTATAAATGATATAAAGACATCTTAAAAAGTTTAATCATAAAATATGAAGTTGGGATAAGTTATACGCTCACAAATTATAGTTTTGAATTGATATTATTCTGTATAAATATAAAAACATTGATTTCTAAAAATGTAAATATCTTTTAGGTTTTTGTTTAATTGGATAATTGTGCATTTATAATCATATACTTAATAAATTGTAAATACAACCGGCTTTTCTTCAACGCAGGTCTTTCTTAGAACATGGAATGGCTAGGCATTCTATTGCTATCGGGAATAATCTCAAATATAGCCGCAGAACCGTAAGTACAAATACATATATTAATCAGATATTATGATATCAAATATATTCCGTGAATTTTATTCAAAATGATTTATCAAAATCATGATAACTTAAAAAATATACTTCATAATAAAACAAACCATATGTTTGCATTACCAACTGTGAAAGCCTAGTATGTTTGATTTTATTGTAACGTGGGATAATGTTAACAATACTAACAGTATATAGATACAGTATACAGATACAGTTTTTTTTAATAAGTATGAAGAGAATAGAATAGAAAAGTTGAAACGAGGAAGATTCTTATTCTCCTTTAAGATATTACACTATTATTGCGCCGAAAGTGGTACGTCCTGATTCGGAATATCATGTAGCGGCAAGTGTTACCGGCGTATCAACGCCATCAACGATATACGTTGAACTGACTGGCGAACTTGATACAGGAAAAATATTTAACATTTCTCGAACTGTAGTCGTTGAGCCTTATTCTACTCACATTTTACAACTAAACGTACGTATGAATTTGTAACAATCCGTATAAGTCCATATTTGTAATAATCTGTATAAGTTTTCTTATTTAAAATTGATAAAAATGGTAACTATCAGTAAATAAACTCATAACGCGGTTCGTACTAATTGATTTTACTTACAATGTTAGATTGGAGAAACTACACCAGGAAAATACAAACTCACAGCACGCGGACTGTCCGGTATTGATTTTTATAAATCGAAGGATATCGAGTATGTACATAAAAGTTTCTCCGTTTTCATTCAGACCGATCGGGCGATTTATAAACCCGGTCACAAAGTTATGTTTCGTTGTATAATACTGGATTCGAGGCTGAGACCGAGTATTGTGGGACCATCGGACGTATATATCATCGTAAGTATACGTATACATGTATATCTGTCTTTCACTGTAATATCATAAAACTCATTGTACATGTCATAAGTTTTGATGCGTGTGAAAATAATTTTTTTTAAGATTTTGTTGACAACAAATATTTAAAAAAAAGTTTGCTGCAGGATGGCGATGGTAATCGTGTCAAACAATGGAATCGGCCACCAGTGACTCATGGTATTTTCGGCAGCGAATTAGAATTATCGCAGTCACCAGTGCTAGGAAAATGGAAACTTGTCGCCAATGTCGGCGATCAAACATTTGAAAAGGAATTTGAAGTTGCGGAATATGTTCTGCCGAACTTCGAAGTGACGATCGATTCGCCGAAACATGTACAATTCAAAGAATCAAAAATTACAGCAACTGTTCATGCAAAGTAAGCGACTATTTCAGCAATTAACAAGAACGATAAATTTTATAAATTTGAAAAGATTTACAGAAAACTCTCTTTGTTAATAAATCTGCACAAACTTGATCGATGTTTCGAATGAAGATAAAGGTTTTGGAGATGATTTTTCAGCTTTCTCATAAAATATTAATTAATTTATTGATTATTTAAAGATTCAACAAATAATAATTTGATGTATTTGACTCTACTTAAGTCACATTTGACAATAAAATATTCATTTGTAAGTGAACATAATTTAGGTATACTTATGGAAAACCAGTGAAAGGTGAAGCTACGATAACGGCTTACCCAGACATTTTTTCTGGCGTAATTCAACCAATATTCCAACAACCAGTGCGAAAAGTCGTACCGATTAACGGAAAAGTTACAGTAGATTTCGATATATTATCCGAATTAAGGTAAATCCAGTAATATTACATTGATTATAAACCTCCCTGGTGGAAATCTCCTTATGATAAAAAGATTTGGAAGGGGTGTACACGTTTTGGGTATATACCCATGGGTTATGGGCATTTTTGGAACTACCAATGAGAAGATTTCTACTAGGGCTATAATGTGTTTTGAGATATTTCTTTTTCTTCTTAACATTAAAAAAATTTCTGTTCAAAACACAAAGACAAAATAAATACAAAGAAATTACAAAGACTTATTTTACTTACTTTTTTTAGTATTATAAGTCTTAAATTATAAAAAATTGTATATTACATAAATTAATGTATATGATATTTTATGCATACATTATTTTAGATTAACTGATGAATATGAAAGACCCATCATGATTGACGCTGTGGTAGAAGAAGAATTAACTACCAGAAGGCAAAATGCTTCGACACAGATAACACTACATAAACACAAGTATATGATGGAATTAATAAGAACATCGGACTATTTCAAACCCGGGCTAAAGTATACCGCTTTCGTAAGTTGAATCTGTCTTATCTCTCAAAGGCAAACTTGAATATACTCAATATACTATACAACGCATTATGTGTACACTGTTATTACATACATTTGCAGCTAAAATTAACGTATCACGATGGATCGCCAGTACAAGACACTAAAAACGATGTCTTGATAGCATACGGATACACATATAATCAATCGGCATATTCAAATCTTACAAAAAAATTAGACGAGCACGGCATGGTGCAACTAGATTTTTATCCACCTAAATCAAAGGATAATATCTCTTTTCCTCTAAATATAGAGGTAAAATTATTAATCAAGTCTCCTTGCAGTTGACAAATATACAATATTTAATTGTTTATATATATACGCAGGCACAATATTTAAATCTCCATGAATGGTTCCCCTCAACTAGTCAAGCTATGTCCGTAAGCAACGAATATGTTCAAGCAATTATAAAAACGGAAAAACCACTGGTATATTTTGCAACTATTATTATTATGTTTAAATTCTTCGGTTATAATATTCTCACAATTTAATCTGCAAGGTGAACAGTTATGTTGAAATCGAGGTGAATTCTACCGCTCCATTGAAATACATAAGTTATGAGATACTTGGTCGTGGTGACATTTTACATGCAGGATCAATCTATGTGCAGGACAAATACACGACATCATTCAAGTAAGTATGTGTGTGTGCGCGCGCGCGCGTGTGTGTAAAGGTGACTCTACACGATAAATAATATTGTTAGTATTAACAAATACTGACAATATTTAACACTATTATTGATCGTGTGTGGTTAATGTTGACATAGAATATTGATTTAGATTTTGATTCTCGAGCATCAGTATCGCTTTATTAGGATCCATGCTACAGTATGTCACAGTGCAATATAGATAATGTACGTAAAATTAAAGTAAAATATATTGTTAATAATACTGATTTGTAAGGCTGTAAAAATACTAAAAATATTGATACATACTGTCAGTATTACTGATTCAATATTACTGATTAATATTATTGACCGTGTATGGTCACCTTTAAGGAATTAAGTTTTTAGAAGAGTTACTCGGAATTTTCCGATAGTCGAATCTTAAGTTGGTCTCGGATCTTTCGAGTCACAGAAAAGATTTACAATTTTGAGATTCAGTGGCCTGATCATAAAAGTGTTCGAAATTCTTGACTGAGTTTCAGTTTAAAATTAATATTTTATACGATTAAAACACGTTTTCCAGATTTTTAGCAACATACGTCATGGCACCTACTGCGCATGTAATTGTATACTATGTACGGACAGATGGAGAAGTAATAGCAGATTCGTTAGACGTTGAACTTACGGGAGTACTTCAAAATCATGTGAGTTATTATTTAAAATGTTTAAGTTGTACTCGTCTATATTAGAGAACAAAGAGTGCATACATAATATCGCAATCTGCATATGTATAGGTTGATATTAAAATAACACCTGGTGAAGTCATGCCTGGAGAAAACGTTAATCTTATGATATCTGCGAAACCAAATTCTTTTATTGGATTATTAGGCGTTGATCAGAGATCTCTCTTGCTAAAATCTGGAAATGATATTTCTTATGTACGTAGTATGTTATACATATAAATATTTGTAAATTTCTGTATGCGTGATTTCACGTATACTTTATTTTGATAGCATTCATTAATTACGTGCAGGATCAAATATACAAGGAGCTGCAGACATACGATAAAGCAGAAGCATCACCACACGCAGATGGATTCTTTGGCCGTCCTCTTTGGAGGCCTGGCTCAGGAACAGCAGACGATGTGTTTCAAGTAAAATATTCCACGATATACTTTGTATTATCTTCTTAATTGTTAATCAGATTAAAATAACAAATGTCTGTAACAGAAAACTGGCGTAGTAATCCTCACAAATGGATACGTCCACGAGAATTTCCCTATACGTAAGTATCGAAATACAAAATTTAAGATAGTTATAGTGTGTATATTTAGTGAAAGACTAACGCGCGCACTTAAAAACATAATGCGCACTTAAAACATATATAACATTCATTAAATATAAATATTTCTAAATTAAAAAATATTTTGTAGAATATGTGACACCATATTCTAACTTACTCATAATATATAGCATGAGAATAACATCCTAGTTCTCGATTGATTCTTTTAATCAGGATCGACCGTTGAGCTGATCTCGGTGAGATTAGATCTATATATTTTTTAACCAAGCTTATATGTGTGTAGTATACTACAGAAGTAGTATCGAAGACGTGATGTTTGCATCCGCTGGGGGATTCTCAGGCCCAGCTGCTGCATTACCGCCCGAGAAGGTCAAAGTTCGCAAGAATTTCCCTGAAACTTGGCTTTGGCAAACGCTTGAAGCTGGGTAATGCCAATGACGTAATAAATTATCATGCATACACTATCATTCTACACATATTTATACTGTAAATTTTGTAAACAGTTAATTATTCACTTGGGTATACACATTTATAGGGAATTCAATTACTTGCACTAAGTTAAATCATATTAAAATCTGCATATACATGAAATTAGCAAAGTTAAATGTAAAAGTATATAAATATTTTTAACGATTAATTATTTACTAATAATATTGTTACGTTATTTAACAAAATCCATGTTGTATTTAATAAAATACATGTATCATTTCATTGTCAAAGTTAATTATATTGTATCACTGCATTGAGATATTTTACATAAAGCAGCTTTTAATATGCACTGATCGAGCGTAGTGCGAGTGATCGAATTTACCATTAGTTACATAACAAAAATCATTCCTGTTTCGTAGCATCTCTTTGATGCGTGTTTAAGCTATTATTTTATTTTATAATTTTTCCTTTAGACCAATAATTGTAATGTAAAAATCGATATCGATCTACACTCTGCACATATTGCATTAAAATATTAACACATAATAGAATTCGTACAACAAAAAATAATGCAAATTAGAACGCTTCGCATTAAAGTTACCCATCGAAGTTGTTGCGGTGGTAAATGGCTAGATAACTTGGTGGAGGAAAAAATCTTCAATTTTTCAGAATCTTTTCACATCTCAGTGTTAATTTTTACTAACTGAAGAACGCTCTGTACATATATACGCTCTATATTCTAAATATTTTATTTAAATATTTTATTTAATATATGTGTATGTAGGTATTATATTACTTTGAATGTACATATACAGGGTGTTCTAGAGCGACCGTACCAGTCTAATTTCTTGAAAAATATGCATTTTTGTGAAAAATGTTTCAGACAAAAGTTTATCGACTTCAAGGGGGACATAAAAGGGTACAATTGGTTTGATCTTGGGCGGCATTGTTAAGGTCAAGGAATGGTACCCTCTTATATCCCCCTCTTGGAGTCGACAAATTTTTGTCTGAAATATTTTTCACAAAAATGTATATTTTTCAAGAAATTAGACTGGTACGGTCGCTCTGGAATACCCTGTATATATAAACTTATTTTGGATACAAACTAAAGTTTGGATTTAATATATCTATCTATAATCTTTAATATTATTATATATAGACAGATATTATATATTTTTAATTATTTATTTCCCATAAATAAGTTTTAATTTTCAGGATATGATTTTGTAATCTTAGAGCTTACGCGTTATTTTTAAATACGACACTGATACTTATATAAAAATAATATAAATATTTATACATATTCAAAAGTTATTTCTTATTTGAATTTGTAAAAAACAGTAGATGCAGAGTTGGAATAAAATGTATCAATTATTTATTATTTCATTAAAATAAAATAATTTTACGTCCATTATTTTTTGTGTAGAGAATTAATGAGAAAATTTATGCAATGTCTTAATAATATTCACTACATAAAAAGAATGTTTCAGAACTGCCATTACTGAAAATTTTTCTGATTTGTCAATATCATAAATGCTGAATTAATAAACAGAATAAAAAAATTGTCGGTGATTAAATTTTAAACATGAATAAATTTTAAATTGAATAATGAAATTTCTTCTTAATTCAGTTTTAAGAAAATTTTATTAAACAAAATGTAAACTTGAGAGACACAAATCATTTCTGATTTCTTTACGATGCAAATTAAATGTTAAAAATTTATTATTAAAGCAATTAAATTGTTAAAAAATTTTTTTAAACTTACGTTAATGAAGAATTTATCCCAAAACTAAATAAATTCTTTCTGTGATTAAAATTAAGAGATAGTAGATCTGAAGCATTTCTTGAAGGTAATTATACTCTATCAAGAATCAGAGAAATAATATCATTAGGATATATCAATCATATTTAGTTATCTTTATTTCGATTGAGGATCAGGGCTGGTGTAATACAATATGCAGAATTGGATTGCAGGACCAGAAATTTTGGAGGGTAGAATAACGGGGTCGCCTCATGGGGTGTCCACGCTTCGACCAGACCTTGGTCCACCTGTCACGCACAGATTAGCGACAAGACCACCGCTGGCAGGTCCTTACGCCTTCTCTCGCATCCCACCCCCTGTCTGGAATAAGCCCCGTGTATTCCTAATGCATGACATCTTAAACACCTGGCTTTTCACAAACTTCTCTTCAGGGTATTTATTTCGTATCTTGTATACTTTTAGTGTGTTTATGCACGTCTATGTATATGCGGTATATATGCAAGGTGTACGTAAATTGAAACAAAAAAGGAATGAATTGTTTCGAAAAAATTGCTTCAGTCTGTTACCAGCAGAATTTTCACCTGTAAGTGTTTCAGTGACACCCTGTATATCTGTAAATAACGTGCATACCGTATTGTACAGTTACGTGAAAGTTGATCAAGGTAAAGGTGCGATCTCATATTTCTCAAGAATGTAAGTTGCGTTACAAAAGCTTGTTCTACATATCATGCATATTTCAGTTCTTGGAAAACGATGTCTTGCGTCATGCTATTCACGGAGGAATGATCGATTTTTATTCGTAACACTGTTCACTATTTATATCCTAGTAAACATCAACTAATAACATTCATGTTATAATTTAACTGTTATGTAACACATATGTTACATAACAGCTATATTATATTTATGTAATTGTTGAGTGTGAAATTATAACATCGATGTTATGTTACTATTAATTGGTGTTTACTGAAACGTCATTTATGTAAACGTGTCTTTCCGCATTTGTAAAGGTGAAGGATACGAACATATGACCTTAACACTTTTTTTCATGTTACATCAACTTGCTTGTATCGTGTATATCTATTTCATTTGAAAGCTGCATATAATCTTTTTTATCGCTATTCGAAACATTATTACTTTTTGAAATTCATCATATCTATATGTTTCAGTTTATTTATTATCTGAACAGTAGCACACAAGATACAGGATACCTACATACTTCTAAATACTTCATCTTATACTCACGATTATGGAAACATATTAAGTATATGTACTCTTGCAGGTATAATGGAAAAACGGAATTACGACGCGAAGTACCGGACTCTATCACATCATGGGTATTGACTGCATTTTCCGTCAATGACGCACATGGATTAGGCCTCATAGAGGAGCCTAGAAAGGTTGTTATATAGATACATATACGTATTTATATAATTTACATATTGAAAGTTTGGAGATTGATTTTATTGCGAAAAAATTAATGATATTTGATAAAGTTTTTTCTTATTAATAAAGTAAATTTAATAATTTAATTTGTTATAAGATAAATGATACATTTGCTCAAAATTTTTTCCGAGTATAAGTTTTATATTAACTGTTTGATTCACTTTCTTCGTAAATTCTTATTGATTTTCTACTAATCTTTTTTTTTAATCTACGATAATTACATCACAACGTTGGATTGATTATAATATATGAGCCTCTTAATTATGCCTTTTCATATGTGATGATCATTTTTTTATACATATTAATATATGTACATATTATATAAAATATACATAAATTTGACAAAAATCTGAGCACATATTACAGCAAAACAGAGAGCTGCTCTGAATAAAAATTCTTATAATTATTATGAAACTATTATATTAATATATTATTTATTATCTGTTCACTAGTTGAAAGTGTTCAAACCATTCTTCATATCCGTGGATTTGCCGTACTCAGTAATCCGAGGAGAAATTGTAGGGATACAGATCGTGGTGTTCAATTATATGAATAAAGACTTGACAGCCGAAGTTCTACTAACAAACGAGGGACATTTTGATTTCGCGGAAGTTTCTAACGAAGTTCACGATGTACCAAGTAAGTGATATAACGTTATTCAACTCCAAAGAGATAAGATAACAATAATAGCTGACTCGTAGTTTGTAACAACGTGTACATTTTACAACTATGATCATCCAATTACGATAAGTTTATAGGATTAAATTGATGTTTGTTATAATTTTTCAGAATTGGAGTTATATCGCAGGAAGAAAGTTGACGTGAAAGCAAATTCTGGTTCGAGTGTGTCGTTCATGATTATTCCAAGAGAATTAGGATACATTAGTATAAAAGCAACCGCTAACAGCGTTTTGGCTGGCGACAGTGTTGAACATAAATTGCTTGTCAATGTAATGATTCTTATTCTTATTTTTTTGTTCGTACGATTGCTCGATAATAAGCATAAACATTGTTCTGCTTTAAGGCCGAGGGAGAAACACAATACAAGAATAAAGCGGTACTTCTGGATTTGAGAAATGTTGAACAGACGAGTGCAAGTATCACCATCGACATACCTAATAATGCAGTACCAGGATCGGAGATTGTACAAATATCTGCAGCTGGTAATAATATTACTCAAATCACATATACATTTCATCCAGTTTAAAAGAATCTTATCGATATTCCTCTGTTCAAACCAGTCTCTTCTAAACTTTGTATAATCCATAATGAACGTTAATCAATAATAATGAGCTTTTCAGTATGATGTACATGTATATAATTATATGATAATTCATGTGCAATATCTGTGAAAACTTATTATTTGCATAAAATATCTTGAAAAATATCCTTTCTTTATTGATTGTATATTATACAGGTGATATCTTGGGTCCTAGTATCCAGAACTTGGCAAATTTAATAAGAATGCCATTTGGATGCGGCGAACAGAATATGCTCAACTTTGTACCAAATATCGTTATTTTAAATTATCTCAAGGTATCAATAGCACTCTCTTCTATTATGACACACGCTAAAATATAATTTATACATAAAAAAAATACTTTTCAGAATACGAATCAATTAACACAAGCCGTGCAAAGCAAAGCGTTAAAATATCTGGACATTGGCTACCAGCAAGAATTAACTTATAGACATACTGATGGTTCATTTAGCGCATTTGGCATGTCAGATCCTAGCGGGAGTACATGGTACGTCCAACAAGATTGTTAATAACATAACATTATTGAACAATTATTTCAAGATCAAGATAATTGTCATTTAAGTCATATGGTCTAATCTAAAATTATTCTGTCCACTAGGCTTACAGCCTTCGTAGCGAAATCTTTTAAACAAGCGGCGGAATACATTGCGGTCGAGGATAGAATCATAACTGAGGCTTTGCAGTGGTTGTCCAACAATCAAGCATCAAACGGCTCTTTCCCCGAAGTGGGAAAAGTTAGCCATCGTGATATGCAGGGTGGAGCTGCCAAAGGACTCGCTTTAACGGCATATACGCTTATTGCTTTCCTAGAAAACGAGGTAAGAGTAATATCTTTTTTTATTTCATTCAATAACGTTTAAATAAATATAATTGTTTGCTGAGAATGTTATCTTTATATTACTTAAAAGCAGTACGTGAAATAAAAAATGCATTTTCCATGTCGCACAATTATTAAAGTTGAATATGTTGATATAGGAATCTGTAGGAAAATATCATAATACGATAAACAAGGCTGTTGACTACATCGTTCGTAATATGGAAGGATTAAACGATACATATGCATTGAGTCTATGTGCCTACGCCTTAAATTTGGCGAAGCATCCATACGAGACATCAGCATTTAACTTCTTAGAATCGAAAGCTATGACGACCCAAAATCTTAAATGGTGGAACAAGCCCATTCCGAAAGACAATAAAAATCCGCACTATTCTTTACCGCGTTCCGTCGATGTCGAAATGACATCGTACGCTCTACTCTTGTATCTTAGACGTAATCTGGTCACAGATGCGATTCCCGTAATGAAATGGCTCGTCAAACAAAGAAATACAGAAGGTGGTTTTGCGTCGACGCAAGTAAGTAATTATTCCGAATACAAAATTATTATTTCAAAAATGTGTGGAAGAAGAGATAAAATGTAATTAAAAATTACTTATGCGTGAAATAATTTAGGATACTGTGATTGGACTTCAAGCATTGGCGAAGCTTGCTGAAAAATTGTCAAAGAACACGAGTACAGTTCAAATCACGTATAAATATGGCGAGGGAGAAAGTCAAGGGGGCTACATGAACATACGTGACGATAATTTTATGATACTCCAAAAGAAGATGGTAAATTTAAACGAATTGTTTCATATATTACACGTTATTACGATAAAATATTAATATTTTTGCATTTCTTGCAGCTACCTATGAAAACGCGGTTTGTTAATATAACAGCATCTGGTAAAGGTTTTGTATTGGTGCAAATTTCCTATCAATACAATTTGAACGTAACTGGAGCATTTCCATTGTTTACATTGGATCCTCAAGTAGATAAAAATTCCAATGCTAATCATTTACAACTTTCAATATGTTCAGGGTATGTTTTCGTTATTGTATTTATAATATTGTTTAAGTTTAACAATTTTGAATCATATTGATTGAAGTATCAATATTTTTTTAAAGTTATATTGTGCAAATGTTATAATTATTATAAGAGAAACAATATTTAAAGTTATTCTTTTAACTTGGCAAAAAGAGATGTATATATGTATATTGTAGTATACGAAAGAAATGCATATACTATATATAAATTTATAGTTTAATTTCTCAAAAAGTAAAAAAATGAATATGAAATAATTTAGTTCTTAGATAGCAATGTATTATATTATTCTATTGTATCAAAAATTAATTAAATTATTATTTGTTGACAGATTTGTTCCAACTGAAGAAGCGAACGAAAGTAATATGGCCGTCATGGAAGTAAACCTACCTTCTGGCTTCACAGTGGACAGAGATTCATTACCGAGTTTAGAAATGTCATCATATGTAAAACGTGTTGAAACTAGAAATGGTGACACAATGGTGATTTTATATTTTGACAAGGTAGAGTATATATGTATCACAGTTCATAAATAATAACCAATTAATGTAACTTATTTAAATAGTTATCATAAAAATCTGATAAAAAATACAATATATAAAAAATAAAGAAAAAAATAAAATAATTATTTATTGTTGTAGATGGTAAAACAAGAATATTGTCCAACTGTGTCGGCATTTAGAACGCATAAAGTAGCTAAGCAAAAACCAGTTCCCGTTTCTGTATACGACTATTATGATTCTTGTAAGTATAATGAAAATGAAAATATTTTATAGATAAATTTGATTTAAAAAAGATATAAAAAAATGTAAAAGATAGAATATTCTAAGATGACAACACATATATGTGTATGTATAACACGGCCTATAAGATTTTTAAAAATATACCTTTTTGTAATTTCCATTCAGCGAGGAAGGCAAGAGCATTTTACGAGCCTAAAAAGACAACTTTGTGTGACCTATGTGAAGATGAAGATTGTGAAGATATATGCGTTTCAAAACCTGGTAAACGAAAGGACAACATTACAGCTTCTGCTGCGTCTCACATTTACGCTTCTGTATATTTACAATTTATGTTCTTCTCGTTTTACTATTTGCTTCAAAAGTACTTGTAATTATATTGTTATCAAGAATAATTATTTCATTTATATATATAATTATATTATAAATTTTAAATCTAACAAAATAACGTAGAAGCTGTATAAGTTGCGACCAAAGTATATGTACTTGTTATACAGAGTATAAGATTACAAACTTTATATGAAATGTCCAAATCAAACTAACATATATAAGATTTAATTAGTGATAATACTAAGTTTATAATAAAACTTAATAATGTTTCTTGTTATTAATTAGTAGATATTACTTTTCTTATATATAACATAAGTCTTTCTGATACACAGATATTTGTACGAGATGCTTTGTTTATGTTCACTTTTATATTATGGAAAGAAAAGAGAGAATGAGAGAGATGTGAAGAAATAGGTATGAAAAAATGATAGGAATTTATTTAAAAAATTATCAATATATACGTATATACAGGGTGTCATTTTAATCGACTTTGAAATATCCCGAGAAATATAAAATATAAAAGACCTTAAGGACATCTTCTCAAGGTCAACCAAGGTTACCATCTTCTTTCCCCCTAGTAACTGAGCAATTTTTATCTGAAATATTTTTCCATATCTTTTATATTTCTCAGGATATTTCAATGCATCGATTAAAATGATTCACTCTATATATATGCATATATATATATAATATTATATATGTATATATATATAGTTAATTCTATACCTTACGAGATTTTCAAGACATTTATTTGACAATTTATCGAAATATTGAAGAGAACATACTAAAGTACGTATTATGGAATTATTCGGAATAGATTCCGATCGGAATCATTCAATTATTAGATTTCTATTATATTTTCTAAGGAAAATGGAATAATTCTAATCAAAATCCATTCTGAATAATTTCATAATAATCGTGCCCAGTTTAATAATTAGATAATCTATACTCTAGAACAGTCATAATAATAATCACATCGTTATGCAAATAGAAGATCGTCGTCGCTATCTGATTGACTAGGATCGGAAGCACCGAGCAAAAGTCTAGCTTCCTCAGTAGTATCGACCTATAAAGTAAAATATATATGCAGTATATATTTAAGTAAATAAAAGTTAACACTAGTTTATAAACGTTCTAAAGTAAGAAAAACGAAGAATCATACTCTACAATAATGGACACGACCAATGCCTCTTCTGAAATGAATCAAATTTGTCCAAAAATGGCGTCCTTCTAGCGGAAGTAAATCTCCGAAATAAACTAAAGCGACCATTAACACTCCAAGCGCACACACTATCATCATCGCAATCGCAAATAATTGTAACATTAAGCCTGAAAGCACGAATATTAGTAATCATAAAATCATGGTAAAATAAACCGAGGCAAGTAGAAAAAAATGGCAAAGTGCTAAAAAAATTCGACAATTCATTATTCAAATATAAAACACTAATGAAACTGCATATTATAATAACCTCTCTGATTTCAATGTGACATATATTATTAAGGTCCTGAATGATTTTCAGGTTTTAACTATCGCTTATTGTTTATTAAAAAGTTATTAATAAAAGAATTTAATAATATAACGATGTGTTAACTCGCTTACCATATTTTGCGTGGAAAGTTAGAAATCCATGTGTTCTTGCTTTGCGTGGAAAATTGTAAACCCATACAAAGCGAAGTTCCACATGTGTTTACAACTAATTTGCAGATTTATCCTAAATATGCAGTTGTATTAACAATTTTATATTTTGATATTTGGAGTATAAAACAATTTGATAAACACGTTTACAGATAAAAAAAATGAATGATTTTGTTTCTTCCAGTTTTTCTCAATTATAAAATAAAAATCTTATCACTTGCCTCGGCCTGTTCTGTTAAATTCAATGTTAATGTAATAAATATCGTATTAAAATCTAATATTACGAAAACATTGTTGTTCACCAGGACTTATTGGACGAAGTAATTTCTTGCAGAGCAATGTATTTTCATGAGATGCATTCTGAGAATTGGCATGTTTCACGCAGATCACTTCGGTGTGCCACTCGAATTCCGCGCTGCATTGTGATTCCTGGCATCATGAAAAAGAAAAAATTAATATTGAATCGAATAGCAGCGTTCGCTCAATGTAAATTTTACTCGGTACTGCGTCTGATAATTCAGAGATTTAAACCGATATGACAATCTTATCCATTTCAGTCAGGAATAAGTATCTATTTTATGCGACCAGACAGTTTAAAAACATAACTGAGAAAAAAACGGTGCATTGACTGAATTACCAAGAAAATAGAACATAATATCTTTTTCTATTTCGATCATGAAGAATTATGAAGATTTGCGTTGTTTCCAATAAATATTTTTAGGATTGTAACATTAAATAAGTCTTTGTATTTAAAACATTTTTATAAACAATTTTAAATTTAAAGAAAATTGCAGAATGTAATGATATAAGATTAGCTGAATTTCAGTCGTAATATGTAAGAAATAAAAACACGCTGATATACATTATATCTAATATATAAGCTTAATTCGTTTTACTAATTAATGCCTAGGTAAATAATATTATCAGTTTCTCAAGAAATATAAAAACTTATAAGTAGTAATTTTTGCGTTTTTAAAACACTTACAGTGAGTGGAAAAAGTATTCGTACAGAGAAATTATTTTTCAAAAAAAGTTTATTTTTAAAAAGTAATTATTATCCAACGAGAAGTGAGTCATCGAATTGATGTCAAATTGATATCAATACGATGAAAATCAATTTGACGTCGATTCGACGTTTAATATTATAATTGACGATCATTTCTTGTTGGGTAATTAACAATTTATTCATAAAGAATAAAATAAACTGTATATTTCTTAAAATTATATATACCAAAAAGATGTGTATTAATTACAGAAAATTTATCATCTGAAAAATAAGCGAAAATTAAAAGTTGTATCGTTTGGATGCTCAAAAAGTATTCGTACAGTCGAGAAATTTAGCTTCTAAAATCAAGAATACATGCGAAGCTCGTTTGTTTATGTTAGAACAAAATATATTCATTGTATAAAATTGCTAATTAATGTTTATTTTCTACAAATAAAACTTTTTTATAAAAAAATTTCCTTGTATACGAATACTTTTTGCTCTCACTGTAGGTCTTCGATATTTCTAATTATCTTATACAAATATATACAACAATTTTATTAATGTTATATCATACGCAAGAGATTTCAGTGATATGAACGATAATAAAAATATTCTTATAGCATCGCTACTGTTCCTCTTCTATTGTCTGCCTATTCTTATCAAGCGTACGTATTAATATTATCAAGATACAGATGCGTCGAATATATTTCGCGTTTCATCAAATAGATAAGTATAAAAGAGTGTCAATTTAGAAAAGATTATTTAGAAGAAAAAAATGCAAAATATCAAGCGTAAAAAATATCATTAAATAAAAAAAAAGATCTTTATATATTCTATAAACAAAAAGCACGCGCGCGCACGCACACGCACACGCACACGCACACGCACACGCACACGCACACACACACACAC